TATTTCTCTTGTTCTCTACATCCTACCCATTTTGTATCTTTCTTGAAGATTTTACTGCCTTCTTCAGTCTTCACTAATGCCCTTCTCTTAACTAGTACAATTCAATTAAACTTAACTTAACTAACTAACACATATTATGTTGCTTTTATCTTCCCAGGACCACGCTAGGTGCCAAGGATACAGAGACAAAGGTTAAATTTGGCCCTAATATCAAGGAGTTTTCCTTTAGTTGGGTCATGGGTGGGGAATTCTATGGAGGAGAGTAGTTATTAAAATATAAATAAGGATAGGGATGAGATCTGTGATTTCATTATATAGAGAGCTCCATTTGAGGAAATACTATCTACCAATTCGGGTTGGAACTTTCTCTGTACATTATAGTTATGCAGAATTGCCTAAAGCACCAAAAAGGGTGAGTGACCTACCTTTGGTCAAACAGCTATCATTAGGCAGTGAAAGGACTTGAAACCAGGTTTTCCTGATTGTGAGGATCGTTCCCTATCCACTATACCATTCTATCTCTCACATGTAAAAGTCAATAATATATATTATTTTATTTACATATTATATGAATTATATGCATTTTTTTTTCCTGTTAGGCAGCAAAGTAGCAGTGGATGGAGTGCTGGACCTGGAGTCAAGCAGATGTGAATTCAAATCCATCTTCAGACATTCGTTAGCTGTGTGACCCTGGGCAAGTCACTTCCCCTCCCTTAGCCTTAGTTTCCTCATCCATAAAATGGGGATAATAAATACAGCACCTACCATACCAAGGTTGCTGTGAGGATCACATAAGAAAACATCTATAAAATGCTTCCCAAACCTCTAAGAGCTGCATAAGTGTTGGCTATTATTATTATTATTATTATTATTATTATTATTATTAATGTGTGTATATATACACACATAAATGCCATGTATACACATTTAACAAAATATAATTCATTAAAAGGAATACTAATAATTGGGGAGATTAGGAAAGGTCTCCAATAGCAGTTGACATCGAAAATAAAGAAAAGAAGGAGATATATATTCTAAAGCACTGAGAGTGAAACACATTATGAACATGGGTGAAAGACCTGTAAAGACTTTCCTGTGGAGATTACAGAATATTATGTGTGGGGAAATAAGTCAAATTGGCTGGAGTAAATATTATATCAAGGTAAGTAATATGAAATAAGTCAGGAAAGATATTGGAGTCAGGCTGTAAAGATTTTTAAATTCTATACAGAGATTTTTTTTTTAACTTGCCCTTAAAAGCAACAAGGAATCATGGAAGTTCTTGAACAGGGGAATGACGTGGTCATCTGAAGTCTGAATCATATTGTGTGGCATTTAAGTCTATGCTCATATGCTAATTGGATTAATTGAAAGGTTGATATCAAGCAGCATGAAAAACATGATAAAGTCATTTATAATCAGAAAGCCAAGAAGAAATTATGATGAAATTCTCTGATTCACATTTGTAACATGTCACATTCTGATCTTCTATAAAGGGCACCCTAAAAATTGGAATTGATTTACAATAAAAACATATACGGTGGATGTGATTATTTAGTTACTATTGGCCATCTCTGAAGAATCCTACTGAAGATGAGAGATATTATAATATTGAATGTAGGTATCTAAGGTCCTAATTTTCAAGATGGCGAAGGTACGTTCCTAAAAAAAAAATTAGAATGGTGTTTTGTAAATGGCTAACACAATTCTAAAAGTGTGGTTGTGAGCATTTTGAAAAGAAGGCAGTGATCATGATAAACCAACATGGTTTCATCAAGAATAAATATATTAGAGTCATCTCATTTCAATTTTGACCTGGTTAATGGAATACGTCTTGAGAATGACATAGACTTCATGTACTGGATTTCAGCAAAGCATTGAAAAAAAGCATTCACAATAATCTAATGGACAAAAATAAGTGGAAAGGGTTAGATGATAATATATTTATATGAATTCAGAAATGGCTGAACTTGATCACTAGTGGACTGCATCAGGGTTCTGTCCTTACTGGTCACATTGACTTTTGTCTTGCCATTGGACTTTGAGGATTCTGAAAGAGAGAATGAGACTGACGACTTTGTGTAATTCTGCCTCACTTACATCCAATTCCTGCACACGTCAAGAATTCACTTTAGTGATGTCATTGGTTCTCTTCAAAAATGAATAACAATCAGCCAGTCAAGCAGTAAACATGTATATCAGTTACATTATCATCTGTAGCATGAATAAAAGCACAGATTACTTGATTACTTAATTTGCTGATGATATAATTCTGAAGCATTAGCTAATTCATTACATAAAATAGTAGTAATCCATAAAGATTTCATCAGTGTAGAACAACAGACTGGGTATATTAAATTTAAATTTAATAAATAATGGATGAAACTACACTTGTATAGGTGATTTTTTTTTGACTCAAGTGTTGGATGGGGAGATATGATTTTTTTTAATTGTGAAAAATACCTTAGTATGAATAAAAAGAGTGACATGGAAGCTCCCAAAGTTTATCTTGGGCTTGTTAACAAAAGCATCAGGACAAGAAAAAGGGGATAATAGAACTGCTCCATGCTATTCTGGTTAGATAATATGTGGAGTATTGTACTTAGTTGTGAATCCATGTTTCATAAAGGAGGTAAACAAAATGGACCACCTGCATATAACTTATATAATATATAAATAAAATAACATATATTATTGACTTGTACATGTGAGAGATAGAATGGTATAGTGGATAGGGAATGATCCTCACAATCAGGACACACCAGAAAAGTGAGAAGACTAGAGACCTTACCATATGAGGAGCGGTTAAAATCATTGGTTTGTTTAACCTATAGAAAAGACATAAGCTCTGGGGAAAATATTGTAATATTTTCCAAGTATCTGATATCTGTTAAATAAGAGGGTTCGAAAAACTTTGCTTTGTCACAGGTCACAGAATTAGGATTGATGGGTAGAACTTGTGAAAACATATATATTAGAATAAAAAAAAATACACTCCCTAACAATTAGGAGTATCTCATGGTGGAATGGGCTGCCTTTAGAACAAATCACTTCTCAATCATTGAAGGTCTTCATGTTGGATTAGAATCAGGGGTAGGAAACCTGTGGCATTGTTGCCACATGTGGTGCTCTAGGTCCTCAAGTGCAGCCCTTTGATTGAATCCAAACTTCACAGAACAAATCCCCTTAATAAAAGGATTTGTTCTGTAAAACTTGGACTCAGGCAAAAGACCCCACCTAGGGACTTAGAAGGCCACGTGTAGCCTCCAGGCTGCAGGTTCCCCACTCTTGGATTAGATGTTCCCTTATTGGAGAGGCATCAGGCAAAAGTAGGATGAAATGACTTACATCCCTTTGTTCTGAGATTTACTGAATTTAGATTTTCTTCAAGACTTAAGTGATATTCAACTTCTATTGTAGATGAATACCTAGATGTTACAGACTCCAAGAAAATTACAAACAATATTATCTTGGATTATCATTTTAGCAATGGCAATTTTAACACCCCACTCCATTTTATAGCCAATTTCTTTAAGACATATTCTCAGATGTTTGAAAGTAACTTCAAAGTCTGTTATCTACAGGTTTTTCTTTAAATAAAAAAAACTAACTTTAAAACATTTTATAAGGAAAACTCAACAATTTAAAAATACATATACAAAGTGGTTTCATGAAAATATATTTTGTGCATTTAAATAATTTTCTCTTTCTTCTTTCACTTTTTCTATGTACAATCAAAATTATATTACTTTCTCAAAATGGTGGATTGTCCCATAAGTGAATTTTGTAGCTAATTAAAAATTTTTCTTTTAAACACCAAAGGTCTTTTTTTGTTTTTCTCTTGAAGACTTAGGGTAGTCATTATGAATATCCATTTTTCTATTATAGAATAATATAGTTCTCTTTCTGCTTTTTAATTTTTATATCACCCCCAACCCACGCCCAAAATGCAGATATGCAGCTATTACTTTGTTCTCATCTTGCCTTCCTCTTACCTGCTCCTATTTTTTTTTTAAATTTAAATATGCAGTCCATGTTAAATAATAGCTACCAAAGCTCTGATTGGAATTCCATGGATCAAAAGAACAGACTGTATTGTATAAAGGTTCTTTTAGTGCATTAAGCTCCCTTTTCCCCCTTACTTAACAATTTCTGCCACTGGCTCAAGTGTGGGTATAGAGAGTCTACAAGAACCCTGTAAGAGAAATTGTGGGGAGAAAGACTATAGAAATGGAAGATAGTAAGCTCATGGCTTACAAAATGCACAGGGAAATTGAAGACTCTATTTCTTTTGACATGTATACATAGTAGTACAGGAGTTGGCTTAAATATGGAAAACTTCTTTGAGGAAACTGATTTTAAGCCAGGCTTTGAAAACAGTGAAAAAAATTTTTTTTTTCTCAGTGACCAGCTTTGGAGGAAGTACTCTTGGCACTGACAAAAGTATGGAAATGGGGAAAAGAAATCCCATTTTGGAGCTGATTAACTACCTTGAGTATAGCAAATTTCTGATCAAAACTTGTTACTGGTGTTCCCAACCCTACCCTAACCCCCACGTGGAAGGAAGGTTCTATTTAATATTCACTAAATATTTAATGTTTCATAATTCCTTTGTTTATGCATATGGCCATTTGGAAAGGCTTTGGAATTCTTATCAATTGCTCCTCATTTAGTTCTCCAGTGTCATTCTTTCATCTTATCCAGGTTGTCTCTGAAGTTGCCCCTGATGGACTAATCTTTGGACTGCTTAGTCAAGTCAGTCTCTCTCTCTCTCTGTCTCTCTGGATCTCTCTCTCTCTCTCTCTCTCTCTCTCTCTCTCTCTCTCTCTCACACACACACACACACACACATACACACACACACACACACAGAGAAGATAAATTAGAGAGATTTTGTTTTTATACAGTCTGCCTTTATTTTTTAAATAACCTTATACTCCTTTTCAATTTTCCCCTCAGAAGAGTTTTTCCTCTCTCGCACTTTCTTTTTCTTCATTATTTTAATGGTCACATCCTCGCTCTGATGTGTCAATGGGAGTGGAAAATCCTGTGAAGCAAGGGCTTAATGAAACGCCAGCTGGAACAGAGGGATAAAGTTCCTTTGGAGGAGCTTCAAAGGAGAGCGCGGGCACCGGACTAGCAATCAGAACAATGGCGCGGAAGCCCAGGCTCCACGAAGGGAAGGATGGAAAGGATGGGCAGGCGGGCGCTGTCCAGCTGGCCGCCAAGTCGGCTCCCTGTCCTAATGAGCCATGAAGCGGAATGGGGAAGCACACGGTGTGGGAGAGGAATCGAAAGGCAGATTAAGAAGGGGGAAAAATACGGATGAGAGCGATCTTGCATTTCACAACAGATATGTTTTAGACATGAAGCAAGGAGTCAAAATAAGACTCTGGCTACCTAGAAAATACACACCCCTGCTCATTTTCTTCAAAGGCCCTGAATTCATAAATGCATCAAGCACGTTTCTTTGAGTTTCTTTTAATAATTTACTATTTTTTTAAACAGTGGAAAGCTTAGGTTTCATAGGATTTTTAGCAGGATGTGTGGGCAAAAGGAAAATCTATGCTCATTGGTCTTTTATGGTCAGATGTCATTTCTTTCATTTTCTCCCACGGGTAAAGCAAAAAGCATGCACCATAATGCGAATAAAGACAAATACCTAAAATGGCAATTCAAATAATTGGCATAATTTTGGCCATGGTTACAAAATGCTTTTGCTGATTATTGACAGGGTCACAAGCAAAAATCAAAAGTAGATCCTGGCTCAGGAAGGAGATAGGGGCCAAAAGGTATTCCCTACCCCCACTTCATTTTTTTTTCTCTTCTCTCTCTCACTCTCTCTCTCTCTCACTCACTTTTTTTTCTTTTTCTCATTCTAAAAGCTCATTCTCACGACCTGCTTTGTTCCACTGAGGGCATTCTGTAAGTTAAATTGACTGACAGATTTTATTCCAGTCATTTTAAAAATAGGCTTTTTGCTGCCTTTGTTCTATAAAAGCCCCCAAATTTGAGCCCCTCAGATTCTGGAAGCAGCACAGAATGGGTGCTTGCTGCCCATTCTCTCTGCACCTGCTGAGTTAGCACTATGATCACGGGGCGTGTTCAGTTAATCACTAAGTATTTGCTGAGAGCTTGCCGTTTGCCCAGACCCTAGGACAGCTTTTGTAAGTAGAGCATAGGGTCCCTTCTCTAAAGGATAGCAAAATTTGTTTGGGAGAGACAAGACATATGCACATTTTAAAATTGAAGGATAGCACAAAATAGGATCTAATTTAAAAAGTTTCCTTTCTAGCTATTCAATCATTCCAGTTCCTTTCCCATTCAAAGTGATTCCCTCAAGATTCCCTCAAGCTTCCCAACAAGATCTAACTGTTTCCCCTGCCTCCAGGTAGGTCAGGATCAACACTATTGATGTGTAGGTGGCAAGAAAACAAGGATACTGAAAGGACCAGGTTTCTGAGCTTACTAACAAAAAAAAATAGTGTTTGACATTTATAGAAAGCTCTAAGATTTGCAAAGCATACGTCATCCATTATCTCATTCCATCATGACCAAAATGCTGTGATCAACCAATCAATCAACAAATATTCATTAAGTACTTACTATAGGCCAAGCACTGTAGTAAGCATGGGAAATACAGAGATAACAGTGAAACACTTCTCTGCTCTAAAGGAGTATACATTTTCCTGGGAGAAATAACATGTATAGGTATGAATATATACAGAATATATGCAAAATAAATAGAGTAGTTTTGAGAGGGTTAGCAGCTATCAATACTAGCATCTAGGGTTTAAGGAGAAAGTGATTCATGAAGGAGGTGTTGATTGAACTAAATATTAAACTAAAACTGGAATTCCAAGAGAAAAAAGTAAGGAATGAATATATTTAGGCAATTAAGACAGCCCATAGAAAGGGATTAGACTCAAGAGAACTGAGTCATTTACCCATCTAGCATCACATTGCTAGTGAGTTTCTGTCTCTTCTTTTGATCAAGATCATAAATTCATCACTCTTTCAACTGTACCAACTTGCTTCCTCATAGTGGGAGGGTGAAATAAGCAGGTACTATAAGTAATTTTGTGGGTAATAAGCTGAGTTCCCAGGAAAGAGATAGCACTGAAAGAATATAGAACTTAGTAAGTTCCTACTATATGTGAGGCACTGTATGGAGTACTGGGGGTACAAAGAAAGGCAAAAGAAAGTCCCTGCTCTCAGGGTGCTCATGGTTAAATGGAGGAGGCAACATGCAAACAATTATATATAAACAAGAGACAGAGACAGTGACAGAAACAGAGACAAAGAGACAGACAGAAATAGAGAAAGACAGAGAAGGAAAAAGAGAGAGAAATGCACACACATATGACAAACTGGAAAAACTGAATATGTGTGTGTGTGTGTATATATATATATATACATACATATATATATACATATATATACATATATATATGTATATATATATATATACATATATATATATACGTATATATATATATATACATATATATATATATATATTGGAAATACTCAGTATAGAGAAAGCATTAACATTGAGGGGGTAGCTAAATTCTTCTTTTAGAAGGTGAGATTTTAAGAAATAGAGCTAAGATGGTGGAATAAAGGCAGAGACTTGCCTGAACTCCCCTTCCTCAAACCTATCCAAACACCTTTAAATAATGACTTTAAACAAATTCTAGAGTGGAAGAACCAACAAAAAAGATGGAGTGAAACAATTTTCTAGCCCAAGACAACTGAGCAAGCTGCTAGGAAAGATTTGTTGCACCAGAGTGAGAGAGGAGCACAGTCTGACACAGACCACACCAGCAAATCAGGAGCAGACCCCAGGGCAACTGAATTAGTGGCAGCAGTGGCAGTTTCCAGACTTGCCAGACCAAAGATGGTAAAGGGATCAGAAAATGTGTCAGAAGGAGATTTATAGGGGTCCCTTTGCTGGCACCAGAGGCAAGACCCTATTACATTGCCTATATTTGGATGAGGGTCACAGTCCTGGGCCTTAACCCCAGTGCAAGGCAAGCACTAGCAGAGCAGAGCTTGTGGCCACAGAGGAGCAGGGACTCTGGTCACAGTTCCAGGGTTGAAAAGTGTGCTTGTGGTAGCTCACAAACCAGTGCGCAGTACAGAAGAGTGGTAAACACCCTCTTCCAAAATCATACCACCTTGGAAGAGCCAAAAACATACAGGTCCCCAAAATTATCTCTGAAAACAGCCGCAAAAAAGAATTGAAGCTTGGGACAGTTCCCCCACCACTTGGGAAGCAGAGGCCCACTTCGGCATAGAGCTAAAAGTCAAGAAATAAGCTGGAAATTGAGCAAACAATAGAAAAAGATACCCGACCATAAAAAGTTACTATGGTGACAAGGAAGATCAAAACACACACTCAGAAGAAGACACTGGTCAAAATTCCTGCATCCAAAGCTTCAAAGAAAATCACGAATTGGTCTTAGGCCATGGAAGAGCTCAAAAAGAATTTTAAATATCAAGTAAGAGAAATAGAAGAAAAATGGGAAGATAAATGAGAGTGATGCAAGAAAATCATGAAAAAAGTCAACATCTTGGTAAAGGAGGCACAAAAAATACTGAAGAAAATAACAACTTAAGAAATAGAATAGATGAAATGGTAAAAGAGGCACAAAAATCCAATGAAGAGAAGAATGCCTTAAAAAGCAGAATTGCCCAAATTGAAAAAAAAAGATATATGAAATTGACTGATGAGAAAAACTCCTTAATAAGTAGAGTTGGTCAAATGGAAAAGGAGGTACAAAAGCTCACTGAAGAAAATAATTCCTTAAAGGTCAGAATTGGGCAAGTGGAAGATAATTAATTTATGAGACATTAAGAAACAATCAAACAAAATCAAAAGAATGGAAAAAAAAGAAAATGTGGAATATCTCATTGAAAAAACAACTGACCTGAAAATAAATCCAGGAGAGATCACTTAAGAATTATTGAAGTACCTGAACATTAGTGTCAAAAAAAGATCCTAGACACCATCTTTCACAAAATTATCAAGGAAAACTGTCCTGATATTTTAAAACCAGAGGGTAAAATAGAAATTTGAAGAATACACCACTCACTTCCTGAAAGATATCCTAAAATGAAAACTCCAAGGAATATTATAGCCAAATTCCAGAGCTCCAAGATCAAGGAGATAATACTGCAAGCAGCCAAAGACAAACAATTCAAATATCATGGAACCACAGTTAGGATAACTCAAAATTTAGAAACTGCTGTAGTAAAGGATCTGAGGGCTTGGAATATGATATTCCAGAGGCAAAAAAAGCTAGGATTACAAACAAGAATAACCTACCTAGTAATACCAAGTATAATCCTTCAGGGGAAAAAAATGGATATTCAAAGAAATAGAGGACTTTCAAGCATTCCTGATGAAAAGAGCAGAGCTGAATAGAAAATTTGACTTTCAAATGCAAGACTCAAGAGAAGCATGAAAAGGTAAAGAAGAAAGAGAAATCATAAGGGACTTATTAAAATTGAACCATTGACATTCCTACATGGAAAGATGGTATTTGTTACTTAGGAGATCTTTCTCAGTGTTAGGGTAGTTGAAGGATATACATACATACATACATACATACATACATACATACATATATATACACACACACACATACACACATAGATACATGTGTGTGTATGTGTGTGTATGTATATATGTGTGTGTGTTTGTGTGTGTGTGTATATATATATATATATATATATATATATATATATAGAGAGAGAGAGAGAGAGAGAGAGAGAGAGAGAGAGAGAGAGAGAGAGAGGAGGGGGGCACAGGGTGAGTTGCATATGAAGGGATGATATCTAAAATATAAAATTCATGGGTGAGAGAGGATTGCACTGGGAGAAGGAGAAAGAGAGAATTAGAATGGGTTAAATTATCTTACGTGCAAGAGGTCTGAAAAAGATTTATTTTTCTTTAGATGTGGGCAAGAAATGTATTCTTTTCCCACTTAATAATATTGCATTTTTTCCAATTATATGTAAAGGTAATTTTCAACATTCACTTTTATAAGATTTTGAGTTCCTTTTTTTCTCTCTCCCTCCCTCCCCTCCCACCTCCCCAAGATGACAAGCAATTTGGTATAGTTTATACATGTACAATCATAATGAACATATTTTAACATCAGTCATGCTATGAAAGATGAATCATAATAGAAGGGAAAATTTTTTAAAAAGTGAAAATAATATGCTTTGATCTTCATTCAGACTCTATAGTTCTTTTTCTGGATGTGGATAGAATTGAGTCTTTTGGAATTAGCTAAGATTATTGTATTGCTGAGAAGAGATAAGCCTATCAAAGATGATCATCACACAATGTTGCTGTTACTGTGTACGATGTTCTTCTGGTTCTGCTCACTTCACTCAGCATCAATTCATGTGAGTCTTTCCAGGTTTTTCTGAAGTCAGCCTGCTCATCATTTCTTATGGAACAATAGTATTCCATTACATTCATATGCCACAACTTGTTTATCTATTCCCCAATTGATTGCTACCACAAAAAGAGCCATATACATAAATATATGTATATGCATATACATATATATGTATATGTATACATACATACCTACTATATATAATCTACACATATATACATATATACATATATATACATATATATCTACATATATACACATATATACATATAGACATATATATATATACACACACACACATATATATGTGTGTGTGTGTGTGTGTGTGTATGTGTGTGTGTGTAGAGTGCTTGGGTCAGTTCACAATTCCACCAACAATGTGTTAGCGCTCCAATTTCCTCACATCTTCTCTGAAAGGAATTTTACAGTGGAGGAGGAAAAGAAGGAAGCAGAGAGGGAAACACATGAACCTTACTCTCATTGGAATTGGCTAAAAGAGGGAATAATATGCACATTCAGTTGGGTTCAGAAATCTGTCTTACCATACAGGAAAGTAGGAAGGGTAGGGGATAAGAGAAAAGAAGGGGAGCTGATAAAAGGGATGGCAGTTTGAAAGAGGTAAAAGTCAGAAGCAAAATACTTTTCAGAATGGACAAGGTAAAATGAGAAAGAGAGAGAGAGAGAGAGAGAGAGAGAGAGAGAGAGAGAGAGAGAGAGAGAGAGAGAGAGAGAGAAAGGATAAACTGAGGGTAAATAGGATGGAAAGAAATACATAGTTGGTAATCATTACTGTGAAAAAATATTCCACTGAGTTTCTCTGATAAAGCCTTCATTTCTCAAACATATAGAAAAGTGAGTCAAATTTCTACAAATAAGAGCCATTCCTCAATTGATAAATGGTCAAAGGATCTGAGCAGGAAGTTTTCAGACAAAGTAATCAAAGCTATCTATAGTCATATAAAAGAAAATGCTTTAAATCACTGTTGATGAGAGGAATGCAAATTAAAACTGCTCTGAGCTACTACCTCATAACTGTCAGATTGGCTAATATGATAGAAAAGGAAAGTGACAAATGCTGGAGGAGATGTGGGAAAATTAAAACACTAATGTACTATTGGTAAAGTTGTATACTGATTCAACCATTCTGGAGAGCAATTTGAAACTGTGCTCAAAGGCACTGACCAAGCAATACCATTACTAGATCTGTACCTGAAAGAGATACAAAATAAAAATAGAAAGGGCCTAAGTATGCAAAATTATTTATAGCAGCTCTTTTAGTGGTGCCAAATAATTGGAAATTGAGGGTATGCACATCAATTGGGGGATGGCTGAACAAGTTTTTGTATATGATTGTGATGTATATATTGTGCTTTAAGAAATGATCACATGGAAATACTTACATGAACTGATGAAAAGTGAAATGAGCAGAACCAGGAAAACATTATACACAGTAACAGCAATATTGTATGATAATCTACTATGAATAACTTAGCTATTATCAGCAATACAATAATCAAAGACAATTCTGTATTACTTATGATGAAAGATGCTGTCACTCCCAGAGAAAGAATAGGTAGAGCATGAATTCAGATCAAAGATAGTTTTTTCTTTACTTTATTTTTCTTAGGGTTTTTTTTTTGGTCTGTGTTTTCTTTCACAGAATGGTTTATATGGTAACGTGTTTTGCAGGACTACACATGTATGGCCTATGTCAAATTACTTGCCTTTTCAATAAGGGAGAGGGAAGGGAGGGAGAGAATTTAGAATTTAAAACTCAAAAAAACCCAGTTTTTACACATAATGGAGAAAATAAAATATTAAATTTTTAAAAAGGTGATATTTTACTTGGAGCATGAAGGAAGCCAGGGAATCCTAGAAGCAGAGAAGAGGAAGGAGAGCATTCCAGGTAAAGGAGACCGACAATGGACATACTATCAAAAAATAGGATGTCTTGTTTGAGGAACAGCAAGAAAGTCAGTGTCACCAAATCTAAGACTAGGACGTGACAGGGAGCTGTAAAGTGTAAGAAGATTTGAAAGGGGAAGGTTGTTTGAATGCCAAACAAGATAGAGCCACTGGAGTTTATCAAGCCAGGGGAGGGGATGGGGCATTTTAAAAGGTCAGACATGCATTATAAGGTCATTTTGACTGCTGAGTAGAGTGGGTAGAGGGACAGGGAGACCAAGCAGCAAGTTATATTGTTATAGTCCAAGCTTGAGGTGATAAAGGCTTTTACCAGGATGATCACAGTGTTAGAGGAAGGAAATAGGTGTGTGTGTGTGAGAGAGAGAGAAAAGTTATGAAGGTAAAAATCAACAGACTTTACCAAGAAATTGGATGTGGGAATACAAAGAGAGAGCAAGAAGTCAAGGAGGACAGCTAGATTGTGATCCAGAATAACTGGGAGAATGGTGGTAACTTCAGCCATAATAGAGAAATTCAGAAGATGGGGGGATTTTTTGGTAGAAGGAGGAAATAGAGATTATTTATGAGTGCATGGAGTTGGAGATGCCTACAGAACATCCAGTTTAAGGAGTTGGCAGTTGTGGATCTGTGATTGGAGATCACCATAGATGTTAGAACTGGAATCGTAGATTTGAGAATCATCTGCATGGAGATGATTATTGAATCCGCTGGAGCTAATGAGGTTACCAAGTGAATATGGAGAAGAGAAGAGAGTCAAGGACAGAACTCTGGGGGACATCATTGGTTAGTAGAGATGATTTGGATGAATATCAGTGTCAAAGGCTACCTAGAGGTCAGAAAAGACTGAGAAAAGGTGATTAAATATACCAATTAAGAAAATGTTAATAACTTGGAGAGAGCAGTTCCAGTGAATGATGAGGTTGGAAGCTAGACTGTAGAGTTTTAAGAGGTGTCTGAGAGA